ATTTGGCCAAAAACTGCTGTACAAAACATGGTCACTGATGCAACCTCTATGGTATGGTGAGATGACCACATTCTACACACTTTCCTTCCAAACACTGCTATAAACAACAAAAGTGAGTGAGAACATCATAACTTAGTGTATATGCACGACAAAGTTCAAGATCAATCTGTGCCAAACGGCTTCACTCTGTGTACTTTTGCTTCATTTCCATAACAACAGTCCCATTACTTTTTGATCAGAGCTTGAATTAAAAATCAAATAACTATGCTATATATATTTAATTAGAATATGATGAACATCTCTCAAGCTGCATTATAAATCTCATCCCAACAAATATGTTATGCAAATATTTCTAATAAAAAGAAATATTATAATTTAAAATGCATATATGTTTCTTCTGTTAATATATTCATATTCTGAAAATTTGACAAATATTGATTGGTTAATACCAATTTTATTGTGAAAATATTGAATTGAATAATAAAATCTGACATGATGTACAGATATTTATTGTCTGTAACTTATTCTGTTATAAGTCTACTACATGCACCCACACACAAGTATACAGAGAGAGAGAGAGAATGAGAATTAAACTTACTATCAGTGGTCTGTGAGATTGTCCTACTGGTTTTCATTTTGATAGTAGACATATTTTCATTTAGCTTACAATTAACTTACTACCCATCTCTCCAAGGATTTTTGATTTGATTTGATTTGTTTTTTTACAGTTTATTAACCCTTTTGTGGAGTATTTAAAGCCAAAAGATATTTTTGAGTGTAAGAATAATTCGTTTTTTGAGTGTGAGTGAATACTGAATCAACATTTTTTAGAAACAACAATGATTTTTCCAGATACAAATCCTACTATTTAATCCATAGCTGGGGGAAGAAGTGAAAGGCAGGATGAACTGCCAGCTACCTTCGATGAGGTTGCCTGTCCCCATCAATCAAAAAGACAACGCTTGGTTTGCTGTATATGCAGGAGAGGATGGGTGGCATAAACCTGAAAACGTCCACTTGCAAGGCTCAAGAGTCACACAAGGTAAAATGTTACTAAATGAGGTTGTTGTATGAATTTAGGAGAAGGAAAGAGGAATTAAGTACAAATTATTAGGACTGGGATGATGGGTAAAGGCTGACTCTACATTTGAAGTGGTTAAGATTGTAGTGTTTGGGGAAGCATCCTCTCAGGAAGAAGTTGTCTGAATGGAACTTCTTCCTTACTCATGGAATATAAAGGGAATGAGGATGTTTTGCACCTTTGTACATGGCATGGTGGGTCTTAGCTGTAAATGTCTGAACTGGTGGAACGAGGGAATTTAGCACATCAGAATATTTTTCATAGTGACAGAGTAGTGATTGACTGCCAATGTTGCATCATTATACACAAACACACATTCACATAATGAGTCAATGATATAAACTAATATTATTATTTTATTTGGATTTCACAGTTAGTAAATATTTTAAGAAAAATATAAGAGAAATATCCATGCAATCATTTCAGAATATCTAGTATGCAAGGGGCACAGGAATTATCAAATTTCAAATGTGGTTATTCGCACTATTTACATGTGGACGATTGTCCTCATCTTTGTTGTTATTATCAGAATATTTCTGCCATTGTGGTCTCTGACCTTCATCAGACATATATTTATCCAAGTAACCTACAGTGAATTCAAAACTGAACCCTTTATTTAATCTATGAGAGTGGACTGTTCTTATCTTACTGTTCATGTTTAAGGACATCTTATATAGTTTTTATTTTTAGTACTGCTCGGTGTTGAAGTCAAATGACTTACCTGCTAACATGGCTGCCTTCTTGTATCTTCTTGTAAAGGCAAGCCAGCTAAATCCTTCCTCATTTATAGGAGAGTACCTAATGCAGTAGGTGGGTTAGTTCATTTTGCTGGAATGGGCCTGCCCAACACATTTGCATGGACTCTATTCACCCATATATCTCTCCATTAAATGACTCAGGGCAATTCAGCTTGACTACACTAGTCTACTTGTGTGTCAGAACTAACCAATATTCTACACTCAGTTATTGCTCACTTTGTTTCCAAGTACATACTTCCCAGCTCAGGGATTAAACTCATAATTGTTATTATGTCACTAAATTCATAAACCAGTGCTTTAATCCACTAGGCTATTATGGAGAACTTGGAGCTTTAAACCTAACCTACCTGCCTGCTGATGAGTACTGCTGGTCATGCTTCACTGCATTCACCAAAGCTTTTCTTTTTTGTTACAGCTGCTGAAGACTTGCTTTTATTTATCTTCCTTTCTTTATTCAAATGTAGTGTATTTGTGGTTAATTCAAAGGTGGAATGAACCAGTGTCAAATATCATAAAATAGGAAATAACACTTTTAACTGTGAAACACATGATCCTAAAATTGACTCATGAAGGAAAAGAAATCATTGTGTTTGTGTTCAGGTGGAATGGAGTCAACAGAATGGTCTTTTCTTATTGCACAAAAACAATGATATAAGAAATGAAAAAATCAGGATGGTAAAGTCTGTCTTGATACTCCCCAAAATATCAGTACCATATATGCCACTTCCTTCTCACAAATGTAACATTTCAAGCCTATTGATACTCTATTGCTACTTCCATGGAAAATGTTCAGAATTCTTTAGTGCCACCAGTTCAGATCTTTATAGCCAAGGCCTGCCCTGTTCTGCTACATCCACAGGGTTGAATCACCCTCATTCCCTACATATTCCATTTGTAAGAGGTTTGGTCCACTCAGACAATTTTTCACCAAGAACTGCTACTCCTGTATGGATGCTTCTTTGAAGACTATAATCTTAACCTTTTCAAATCCTGGTTCAACTGTTGTTATCTATCCTCCATATCTTCATAATCTTCATTTCCTACTCTTACATTCATATAACACACTTCCCTCAGTAACCCTCTATTCTGAGTCTTTATATTGAATAAATATTAGTATAAGAGAAAAATATTCATCCCATAAGTAATTACAGTAGAACAGTCTGAAAAAAAAGCAACTTTAAAAAATAGTAAGTAAAGTCATAGGCAATTGAGCTGGTGGAAAAAAAAAACTCTTGGAACTTCTGTGTACTGTCCTCTTTTCAGATAAGTTCTCATTTGCTCAATTTTGATACATTGGAAAGTTATGGATTTGTAGATACTAGTCCAAACTTATGTTTGCTCTGTCTGAACTCATTATCAAACATAGTGGATTTATATTTATGGTGTAGGGAGCAAATTTGAGCACAGGTCACTGAAAGCTTTTGGCGTGTATGGGGAAAACATCAGTTTAGAAGATATAAAAGAGACTTCTTTCTCCCAATATTGATTGATAGTTATTTGGAAAAACAAAAGAGAACCCTTTTCATGAAGGATGGAACTTCATGTTACACCTAAAAAAATGAGTTGAGAATATCAGGTCAGAAAGGTATTAAATAACTCTTAAGCCCAGGCTTCTGACATAAATTTTATTGAACTGTCTGGTCTATTTTGGATTGTGAAATATGGAAAACATCTCAGAAATCTTCAATAAAAGATCTGCATTGTTTTTTTCAATGCATTAAATATTTGACGAACAAAGACAGGAAATCTGATAAATTAAATGCTTGAAAGATTAAAAATCTGCTAAATTTAATTTGCATAATAAAAATATTCTTCAATTATTTAGATGACTGAATAAAAAAAGCAGAGTCATTTATTTACTTTTGTCATATGACTTTCATATATATATATATATATATATATATACACGTGTGTGTGTGTGTGTGTGTGTATGGTTTAAATTTTGATAAGAATCACTAAAATGGTGTTGAAAGAATGCAGAATACAAAAAGTCTTTAAAACAAATTAATATATAAATAAAAATCTAATTACAAAAACACCACAGTAAGAAAAAAATCTACATTAACCATGTTCTATCTTGCCAATATAGATTTGGTTGTAATATCTGAATATTGTTACACAGGATTGTCTCCCTTTACAACTTGAAGCTGCTTAATCTAAGGCATTGATTCTCAGCTGCCATGCTGTGACACACTAGTGTGCTAGGAAATATTGTCACGACATATATATATATATATATATATATATATATATATATGTGTGTGTGTGTGTGGATGTAGCAATCTGAAAGCACTTGACTGTTATTTTCCATCATTGAGCACATAAAATTATGATTGGATTCAAAATTCCTTCATAAATGTTCCCTCTAATATTGGATTTCAGTTATGTGAAGAAGAAGAATTGGCCAGCATTTCTAGTGACTGAGGGCTCAAAATGAAACATTTGACAGTACACATTGATAAATAAAGCATTTGACAGTATACATTGATAAATTTTGGATTCCAATACAAATACATTGCTTAAAAAAGGTTGAGAAACGCTGCTCTATGAGTTGAATATGTTGTTATCTCTACTTTATATTTCTACATCTCTATATGATAATCCTGTGTTATAACAATAGTTTTATAAAATATTTGGTTTTACTTATCATCTTTCATTTAGAACTTTTAGGTATATTACATCAAATAAGATATTGGGCATATTGAAAGTATATATATTATCACAAATGTCAGTAGAGAAAGGGTTTTAAAATTAAATTACTACTGTAGTAAATTTGAACCTCACTGAGTGCCCTACACTTGAGGCCTTGAGCTCTCTTTCATAAATACTCATATTATAATTAACAAATTACGTAACCTGTAAAAAGAAATGTAAACATTCTGTTTATTTTTTAACTATTTTCTTGTAAATTCAATAAAATGTCATTTTGTATGTATGCATGTTTATGGTGTCTCTAAGCAAAGATATGATTTACAACTTTTCAAAAATGTACTGACAAAATTGGAAGTCAACAAATTTGGAATTCTCCAAAGAAATTACAATCTTGTTATTTTCCACTTCATGTTGCAATTTGAGATTCTTGGCATATGTCAGTGTGTTTAGAGAACAGAATAAAAACATCAGAATAAAAAGAAAGATAAAATGACATTTTTGTTACTTACATAGACAGGTACGTCCATCTGTATGCAAGGTGTAGCCAAAGTTACACTCACAGTGATAACTGCCTTCATCATTCACACATTTATGACTGCAGTTTCCATTGTCTATTTTACATTCATTGATTTCTGCAAAATAGGAACATATCTCTTTCTCAGTTTGTCTCTTTGTTCTTGCAGAAATAACAGGCTACCAAAAAGAATGAGCCAATATAACCATCACATTTACCATTTACTTATTTCAGTTTTAACACACATTTTGGATTTTATTCCCTTTTATCCTAAGAAATCAAAATTGTTTCAGCAATAATAATAATAATAATAATAATAATGTGATAGTTTATAAAGAGATGTTTGTTTATCCTTGTTGTTTTTTACCTAAATTATTTTCTTGATTAATTCTCCAGTCTTTCCTTAATTGAATGGGATTACCAGTGAATTATTTATTTATTCAAAGCCTTGAAGAATATCAACATAACTCTCATTTGAAGAAAGCTGATGAAATAAAAATGTTATAGTAAAAGCAACCAAACATAATGCTATTCCCAATAAACTATTATATCAGGAATAATGCGTCATTGCCTGATCTAAGAAAATATTCTTAATACGCCATTCTTACAAGAGATTGAATTTAACTAAACAAGTAGATATGTAATCAACATATGCTAACTTTGAACATTAGTGAGTTTATGATTCACATGTCACTGGATGACATGGTTTTTAATTAGTGTCCAGATTTGAAATGTTTATTAATGTGTCACCATAACTAGAAGATGTAGAAATGCTTCTTTACCAGAAATAGTAAAAGATGTAGGCAGATATTCTCTTTTCTATCATCAATTGAAATGAAAATTGTTTCAGCAATAATAATAATAACAATGTGATAGTTTATCAGGAGCTGTTCTCCTTGTTGCTTTTAACTTAAATAATTTAGTTGATTAGTTCTCCAATCTTTCTCAAGTGTATGGAATTTGCAATGAATAGATTTAAATCTTTATTTATTCAACATCTTGAAGAATATAAAAATACAGCACATTTGCCTAAAGGAAGCTGTCTCGTTAATAACAATATTATTAATAATATAATTATTACTAATAAACCAATACATTATGGATAATACTTCATTTGCAAAACCTAAACTTTTGAAAACATTAATATAGATGAGAAAACATAGACATATTCACACATTTTTGACAAGAGTTTCTTTTGTCCATTTTCTCTTTATTGATTTCTGTTTCATCACAAAAAATCTATTAAAGCTGATACTGTCACTGTTTTAACTGGTCAGGTAATTCTCAGTGCAACTCAATCCAGTTTTTTTTTTTGTTGTTTTGATACCTACTGACAAGACGAAATTAAGATGACTGGCAATAAGACATGATCCAGGGGAAATGTATTCATGCCTTTTCGAAGATTATTAGTATCATACTGATGTAAACAGTCACAACCAAAATTCAAATTCAGTTTGCCGTTTTCATTATCCATGCTGATGAATTGAACTTTTCCATTACATTATATATAAATATTTTTACAAGAGATGCAGAAAAGTTCTTGGCCTGACCAAGAAGCATTTCCAAAAGTAGATTTGATGTTTGGTCATTTTGGCAAATGGGTCAAGCCAAGAACTTTTCAGCACCTCCTTGTGTTATTGTTGTACAGTAAGTAGTATAACCTTTTTTAAAGATACATTTTCAAATTTTGCAAGGTCATTATCATTCCAAGTATTGTTCAAAATACTGAAATTATTCTTTTGCTGTTGTTTTGTGGTGAGCACAGCATTTCAATTGATTTAGTCTACAACTTTCTTCAGATTTACAGTTTATAAGGAAAGTATGAAAGTCACGTTACACAAAAATGGTAACAAATACAGAGAGTATAATACTGATTTACAAAGAAAAGTTACTAATATTTTTGCAATCACATTAAAATCACTTGGTATGGAATCTTTAATGATGATCAGAGACAACAGAGCTTTTGAATAATTGAGGACTCAGATAAGATTATTATTAATTGGCTCAAGATGAAATTGACTTTACATTTGAATATATAACGCTTTGGGATTGATAAAAATATAAAAGATGTGAAATATGAAGTAATAAAATTCACATTCTCGATTTTTGAATTTTTGTTTATTCTGTAGAAAGCAAAGAACTGAAATTATGTTTTTGGATAATCAGGTAAACTTGTAAAATCATTTCAAAGAAACAAAAGAGAAATGAACTAAATTAAAATAAAAATCTTCAAAGTTTATATTTACAAGAATTTCTGTTTATAAATGAGAAAACTTGGGATTGCTTAAATAAAACTAAGAATCAATTTTATTGAGTCAGTTTAATTTATAAATATTTTTTTTTTCAAAGTTCTAAGAATCTACTTCTTACTGTCTAAATACATGAGAAAATATCCAACACTAGTGAATTTCTCTTATGGCACTGATGTGTTCTTTCATAAATGTGAAGATAATTGCTTAGTCTGAATGCAAATTTGAAAGTAAAATTAAATTTCCACTTTCCCATCAGCAAATCTTCAAGTTATAATGAAGAGTTTGGTAACATTTTTTTAAAATTTTAATTTGATTTTGTATAACACAAATTCAACATTCTTGCCTGGAGAATATCTGGGATTTGATAATGAAAGAATAAACTTCAAACTGTGACCTTGTTTACTCCATTTTAACTTGCCATACCTGGAAATATCTTAAACTGCACATCAAACTAATTTTAAAGTAACATAAATTCAGTAGTAGAAATTTAAACAACTCAGTCAAATTGTCTTCTTCCAACTCTGCAAACTATTTATTGAATAAAGTTACAAAGGATTTAACTCATTTAATCACACACACACACACACACACACACACACATATATATATATATATGGGAGAAATTGTATGACAAAGTGGAAAATGTTTACTTTTGATGCGTTTCATCTTTCAGAACTTCATTGGACTAAATTTGTTTTGTTGGTACACTACACATGTGCACAAATGATGGGTGCTAGAGATTTTAGAATTTTTTTAGATTTCACCAAATTTATTTAAAGCCTTTTCTCTTTTTCTTTATCTAGGATAAATTTGTATCCTGGTAGATCTTCTATTATCACAGTGTGGGATACCTACTAACAAAAATGATGGAAATAAAAAGAAAAAGACTCTAAATGAATTTGGCTAGATATAAAAAAAAAATCTAAAATCCCCAGCACCCCTCATTCATGCACATGTGTAGTAGTACCAATATAACAAATTTAGTCTGCTGAAGTCCTGAAGGACAAAACATGTCACAAGTAAATGTTTTACATTTTGTCATACAATTTCCCTGATATTGTTCTTGATATATAAAAATATATAACATTATTTAATACACACACACACATATATATATATATATATATATATATATATATATATATATATATATATATATATATATTGATGCATTTTTCATTAAATAATATAGACAAGTGTTGTCTATTTATTTTAAGTAAATTCTTTTCATATTGTCTGATAAGCTTAATAACATTATCATTAAAAGAAGAAAGAAAATCACAATATTGATACATATTTTTTGATCCTATCTAAGCTTTCGGCTTACATAAGCCATTATCAAAGATGACAATTACATTACAATATATTAAACAATACACAGACAAAACAATGGCAATAGTCTGTTTTTGTTTACATGGAAGATTTCCAAGCAACGACAAACTTGTGCATACAAGATGCTGGAAGCAAAAATTGCACTGCATCTCATGACCACATGAGAGTGAAAACAAGAAGTACTAAGTATGGGAAGCAGTTTGTATAAACCAATGGCTTCTGTTACCAATTATAGGCATTTATACATGTTCCACCAAGTATTTGAGAATAAACCATGGAAGACACCATGAGCCAAACCATAACATTCTCTTTCTATTTTAGACATATTGAGGACATTAACTAGTCACCTTCATTCTGATACAGGAAATTAAAAATGTATGCTGTACTCATGGCACTAGCCACCAATCACAGTGATTCAGAGATAGCCATCTTCATGAAAAGGATCAGATCCTTCATGTTCCAGGTTAAGAATAAACTGAATTCTCTGATGGGAACATGTCATCTGTGGTCAAGAGTTTAGATATCATAAAAATGGCTGAGAAGATTTATAGCATAATAAACTATGTGGCAGCAAGTGGATGATGGTCAATGTCACCACAAACACTGAAGTTCTGGACATGGTTTTCAAACCCTGAATCAAGTTGGTGACCCAGATGAGACTGTATCTGTTTCAGCAAGATTCTGCTCCCTCCCACTATGGTCACATGACCTAATTATGACTAACAAAGATTTTTTGCAGTCATGCCATTCTCCAGTACATAGACTCTGTTCTCTTAATTTAAATCCCTTGAACTAATATGATACCACAATGCCAGCAATTGTTAAAAGCCTCTATTTAACACAAACAAGAACCAACTTATCCAAGTTTGCAGTAACTTTAAAGGCAATACTAAGCCTGGAGGCAGTTTTATTGAATATGCTTTTTCTGTTTTTATAAGTTGAATATGTTGATAAATTTTATTTAAAATGTAGTGATTTTTTTCTATTCAATATTTTTGTTTATAATTTTTAATGATTTACTTTGTGCACATGATACATTCACACACACACATACATATATAATGATAAATTAAAAAACACCTTAAAAATCCATATTAGTTATAATTTATTTCATGAATATTGTTATATTCATCTCTTCAGACCAAATATTTTTAAGAAAGAAAAAATTGTTTTTTTCTGAGTATTTTTATGAAAGAAAAGAAATTTTTTTTTCCTTAAAAATATTTGATCTGAAGAGATGAATTTAACAATATTCATGAAATAAATTATAATCAATATGGATTTTTAAAGTGTTTTCCTAATTTATCATTATAAATTGCTCTGTAACTTACATTGAGCTCTCATTGAATTAAAGTCCTCTTTGGAATAATCCCTGCTAATTATAAATTGATATATATATATATATATATATATAAAAACACCCACACACACTGGACTTTCAAATTGTTTTCAGCATATGAGGATTAAGTAGCTCATTTCTTACAACCAACAGCCAGACTACTCACACATAATCTCTTCTACTCCAAAAACTTCT